TTTTTGAGATTCTGAAGATATTTTCAATGTTAACAATCTCTTATGAAATTTTCCTGGGTTTTGGAGATGGCGTATATTCTCAACATCAAAGATCTTAATAAATATTTAACATATTAGTAGAGGCTAGATAACTGTTTTCTGAAAGGAATAAAAATTGAACTCACAGTGATCAGAGAGAATACAAAGGCAAAAATATTGTGGTAATAGTGAAGATATGTATGGAAGACTTTAAGTAAGGATTGGATAAAAATGTATGGGATCAAAAGAGAAATTGTATATATTTTCCTATTTCACCTAGTCCCAATCCTAATGGGTATTGGAACTGACACAAAGTGATATTTAAAAATAGATTAAATAAGAGGGCAGAAATATGGATTAGAGGAAAGGGAGGAAATGGTATCTATAATGACAGGGAAGCAGATGTAATCTCTATTTTTGGTAGCACTTTGAACAGGTGATATTCGAGAAAGGGAGTCAGGATGTGAAAAAATAATATTGAAGAGTTTTTAAGGCTGCTTATAAAGTAGATTTTTTATTACTGTAATTTGCCTTTGATATTTGAACAATATTACCCAATGTTATCAATCCAAATATTTTTTATTTTCCAAATTAGTATGCAACAAAAAGAAAAGAATGTTGTTTGTGATAGCTAGTGATATAAAATAATAGAAAAAGGATGGCTCTATTTCAACTTTTTTTTTATTTTCTGAAGTTCTATTCTACTTTTCACAGCAGGTGAGCTGATGCTTACAGATTTTCAAAAAATTCTTTAGCTTTGAAAAGAGACTTCACCGTGAAGTATTAGATGCCTTTGAAAGCATATGATAAATTGTAGGCTTGATTTGACCAGTTTCTTTCATTTAACGGTAAGCGAAGAATAATAATTTATGGAAAGCCAGGGATGAAGCAATAATATTAAAATACACAACACTATCAAATGTGTTATGTAATATACTACTTGGCTATGAAAATTTTTTATTAGTCTGATATGTTCACATTTTGAAGATACAGAAATTTCTTCTCGTAAAAGAGATGCAGTATGTTTAAGAGGCATCATGACTAGTCAACAATGCAACTCAAACACTTTAATGAGCAGGGGGGTCACCACTGATGTTACGATTGTGTCAACTAGGGGTAACGCATGGAATGATGCAAAACAAAAATAGGTGACATGTGTTTTATCATATGATCTGAAGAGAGTATATAAGTATACCAGTACAGAGGCTGACTGACATTCACGCTCAGGATCTTGCCTTGAACAGCAAACCACATCACCGCCACTGACACCATGAGCTACTACGGCAGCTACTATGGAGGCCTGGGCTATGGCTACGGAGGCTTCGGTGGCCTGGGCTATGGCTATGGCTGTGGATGTGGCAGCTTCCGCAGACTGGGCTATGGCTGTGGCTATGGAGGCTACGGCTATGGCTGCTGCCGTCCGTCATGCTATGGAGGATATGGATTCTCCCACTTCTACTAAACTACTGCCCCAGGAGCTCAACTTCTGAACTTATCAGGAACTTCCCAGATGTGAGCTCAATATTTGGACAACCAAGATCATGCTGAAGTTATTTGCACAAAAGTATTTCGCATCTCAGAATTATGGATAATTTTTCCATATGACTGTATCTCCATCATAATCCTAGAATATCCTCTACTTTTCCTTTTATAACTGATCATGTTATCTGTTCACCTTCCAATAAAATATTAAATTTGAAAACACAACATGGTTTTTGTTTTGTTCAAGAAACTCATTTATGTGGAAATGATGATGGTTATATTCTACTCAATTGTCAATGAGGGAAGCTATCTCCAAAGCTAAGAATTTTTTGTTTTCAATACCTCACAAGTATGCACAGAGATCAAAAGATACATATGAAGAGTAATAATTCTAGACTGAAATGAAAAAATGGTTTCAAAATGGTTAGTGATTTAATATTTTTCAATCTCTTGCTTTTATTTAGATAATACTCAGATTTAACTCAACAAAAAAGACATGGTAATTTAACATATCTATATATTTACATACCAAATATGTTTTATTTAACTCAACTCACATTTCACAATTCAGTCCTAGTGCATAATGTATCTTTCCATTTATTCAAAATTTGTTTATTTTTATTGTAAGTACAAGCAAATGGTAATAGATTAAACCATATCATAGGCTTATTATGAAAGTAAACCACTTTTGCAATAATTTTTTTTTGTATAACCTCATCCTGTGTATCATACTCTCTTGCACATTATTTATTGGATATTTTTATAAAGCAGCTGATTTATAAATCAATAATGAATTGGGATAAATTTGTTTCATTTGAGGTCATTTAACTCAAAATATTTAAACTAAAATTTTCTGTTAGCTTTCTTTTATCTTACTGTATATTCATGATTTTTCATTACATTTTTCTTCACCACCATCATCATACTCAAAATTTTTTCCTGATCCAACAAAGGGAAGAAACAATAAGACATAATTGTGAACCATTTAACTTAAGCTAATGACAAACAGAGCTGACTCCAAAGAGCTGTCTTATAAATCTAAATTTCAGTTAAATCTGAATTTTCCCTGACACAAATGGGCAGGACAAGGTATTTTATGAAATTTAAAAAATGTAAACAAATACCAATGTTTTTTCCTAAA